GAGTTGTTCTTCTCCTTCTTCTTCTCCTCCTCCTCCTTCTCCTCCACCACCTCTGCCTCCACTTCCATGTTCACTTCCGCCTTGCCAACTCTTCGCCAAGCTCTTCGCCAACTTCCGCACGCAGTGGGCACTGCTGGACCTCAACTGCAAGGGTCTGAGCGCACTGGGAACCGCTGGACCTCAACCTGGGACCTGCCGAGTTGAGTGAGCACCGCTGGACCTCAACCTGCGACCTTCCGAGTTTAGTCAGCACCGCTGGACCTCAACCTGAGAACCCGCCGAGCTCAGTGAGCACCGCTGGACCTCAACCTGAGACCCGCCGAGCTCAGTGAGCACCGCTGGACCTCAACCTGGGACCTTCCGAGCTCAGTGAGCACCGCTGGACCTCAACGGCCAGATAAAATGCCAGAAGATATGCCAGATAGAACGCCAGATAGCATGTCAGATAGAATGGCAGAAGATATGCCAGATAAAATGCGAGAAGATATGCCAGATAGAATGCCAGAAGATATGCCAGATAGAATGCCAGATGGTATGCCAGATAAAGTGCCAGAATGTTTGCCAGATAGAATGCCAGAAGAGTTGCCAGATAGAATGCCAGATAGGATGTCAAAAGATATGCCAGGAGATATGCAAGATAGAATGCCAGAGATATGCCAGAAAATATGCCAGATAGAATGCCAGAAGGTATGCCAGATAGAATGTCAGATAGAATGCCAGAAGGTATGCCAGATAAAGTGCCAGAATGTTTGCCAGATGAATCCAGAAGAATTGCCAGATAGAATGCCCGTCATAGTATTTCAGAAAATATGCCATAAGAATTATGCCAGATATAATGCCAGATAATATGCCAGAACTAGGGACCAGAAGATATGCCAGTAAGAATCCAGAATATATGCCAGATCGAATTCCCACGAAGATATGTCAGATAGAATGCCAGAAAGATTTGCCAGTAACAAATCGATAAATGTCATGGGGGGGAATCACACGAAGTAAAGTACTTAAGATTGTTGGCCGTCCTTTCCCCTGCAATGCCCTTGGAGGCTGCCAAACTGCGGGTGCAGTTTCTGCTGAGGGTGCTCTGGTTCTTGATCTCGATGGTGAAGATGCCGGGGATGTCACCTCAGGAGTTGTCGCGACAACAGGCTGTTGATCAGCGACCTCAGCTTCTTCCTGGTTCGGCTGTGGCGGGGGTGCAGCAGGAGCTTGGCTACCCTGTGCACGCCACGGAGGAACACTACCACCTAGAGCTGGGATACTAAGTGATGGAACGGATGCTGAGGCTACTGGTGCAGCAGGTGACACTGGCGCAGCTGGAGATCTTGGGGTCTCTCGCGACACTTGGGAAATTCGGATGTTCACACGCTGCCTCTTTGGTGGAGGGTCTCGAGGTGCTTTGGGGACCCTTTCAACAATCTCTGCCTCGATCGGCCCGGACTCTCTAGAAGCTTCAAGAAGATGTCGGCCTGCGTCACGAAAGCGATGCTCAGCTGATGCAGGATCTTCAGAACCCTCCGAGTCAGTGGCGGGGTTGCTGTTGGCAATGTTAACCACGTCGGTGGGATCAAGGTTCCCAGTGCCAAGAACAGTTCGATGAGCTCTCAAAGATGGGTCACGCCACACGCTATCAGGGAGCAGATGTGGGTCAGCTTCAAATCGAGCAAATTGATGTTCACCCCTTGGGACAATGTATGGCAAAGTGTGAGGAGCGTATGCGATCGGAGGATCAGCAACCCTTGCCCAAGTACCAGAAGGATCAATCCTAATTTCGGGGTAACCGTGCACTTGTGGCCTTAACGCAAGAGGTCTTCTAGAAACACCTGTGGCAGCATGGGCTCTAAAAAGTTCTTGATTAAGTTCTATGCGTTCACGGGTCGCCCTTGGGACTAAGTTAACTGGAATTGGGGGATCTGACCTATTTCTTTTGGGCCTACGTTCACAGGTTAAAAGCAACTGGGAAATCAGGGAATTCCGGTTCTTCCTCCTCCACTTCAACCACAACGTCTTCTTCCCTAGGTTCCTCCTCCTCTTCCGCTTCTACCCACTCCCCTTCTTCAACAGGCTGAGGATCGTTGGGTTTCTCGCGTCTGCTGGTTGGGAACTGCCGGCAGCGAGTTTTTCAAGAGATGGTGGCGGATGAGATGGTGGGGGTGGAATGTTATCACTTGGTGGTGGATAACTAGGCGGTGGTAAAGGTGGTGGTCTAGGTGCGACACCGGGTGGTGGCGGTGGTAGATTACGGATTCTATCTGCAAGGGTTTCAGCAGCTTTAGATTCAGGAGCTTTAGGCCTAGCTTTAGCGGGTGGCTTAGCGGGGCTACTAGCAACTGGCACTGGTGCTGCGTCGCGCCCGAAGGCGGCGACCTCCTGAGAATCTGACTGGGGCGGTTTTGGTACCGTTCTCACCGATGATGTGACCTTTGGTCCACTTGTCGAGACGGGCTGAACTGGGTGGTCAAGGCCCCTTAAAGACGGCTGCCAATTGGGGGGTGGATAACCTGGCTGCTTGGGCTCCTTTGGAACAGGCTGTTCCGCAGGAGCTGCAACTACTGAACCAGTGCCCGCCGCGCCACCAGCGGGTGCTGGGGCTGCGGCCTTGCCCTTCGGTCGGGGCTGCTGTTGTGGTCCAACGTACCGGTAGTACGTGTCCCGCTCCTCTACCCTCGGATGTTCTGCACCAAGAATTCTAGCGTTGATAATCCTTCTAGGAGGCAAATCACCCGAATCAATTACTTGACGACCGTGAGCAACTCCCCGACGTCTATCTAACCCGTTTTGATGAGCCCAGTCTTGGTAAGAAGCAAAAACGTTATAAGCTAAACAATTTGAGGTGGTAAATTCTTCAACAAATCTTGAATGCAAAGCAATTACCCACCGTTGGTCCTCACTAGCTTGTTCGTAGGGGATCCGGCGCAACCAGAAACCCCCGCTGATGCTTCCCCCTGAGTTTTGATAAAGCAAGTTCTGATATGCTTCAAAATCAACCCACCAACCCCTTCGAGCTTCTTGCCAACGTGTGGTGGCACCTCCCCTGCTGGATCTTACCCTTGTTCTTGGAGCTTTTGGAGCTTTAGAAGGGGCAGATGGGGAATGACCTACTTGGATAGGTTCAGTACCAGGGTCAACAAGATTAGGACTAGTTGGTGGTGGGACTAATTCAGAAGAGTCAGTTACAGTGGCTTTTGTCGCGACACCAGGGGTGTCAGCGACCACAGGCTCGGATGTAACGGCTGCTTTGGATGCGTCGGTAGTTAGACCTTCGGTCTCTGCTTCAGGAACCTCGGCTAGAGTTGTGTCCTCGCCTGCAACAACAGGATCAGCTAAATCAGATGTTTCAACCTGTTCCGGAAGAGTCGACGGAAGGTCTTGATGAAGCTCTTCTTCTTTTGCACTAATGTCCGTGAAAGCCGCTTCTGCTGGATTTTCCAGTTCAGTGCAATCTTCCAAAAATGACTGATCTTGAGTCGGAGCCTCTTCAACCTCTTCCGTCGCGACGATTTCGTCAGCGACCACCTCCGGCAAGCCAATCGTTGAAATCACTGCGTTCAGAGTCTCGGCCTCATGGATCTCCTCCTTCACCTCCGACAACAACCCTTGTGGGTGAGCAGAACTCGGCGAAGAGTCAATTCCAGAAGGTACAGGCGCGTCAGATACCTCAGACAGATCCGCCCAGGAGGTAGAAGCCTCAGCTATCGATCCGGCAGGCAACGGAGCTGGCTGCTCAACGTCTTCTGCAGCAGATGCGACCGCCTCGGCTCCACCCGCTGGCGTTTCAGTCGCGACGGGATCGTCAGCGACCTGTTTGGATCCTTCTGAGGGCATGCACAGCGAAACAATGAAAGTGCGAAAAAGTGAGTTAGAGCCTAAGCAGGTTTTAGCGGATTAGGTTCCCTAACACAAAAAGAAACAAGCCCTACGGCCGATAACCAGACAAACAGGGGGAGAAACCGGGAACCCAGAAAATAGGGAACCCAAATCCGCCAAACCCTGCATCAACCAACAACAAGTACGCAGGCTATTTTGCGCACTTGAGCCATGGCGTCGTTAGCATACATGGTATCACCCCGACCAGGTAGTTGTTAGGAAGGGGATAGTATCTAACTCTAACTATGGCTACACACCGTATCTATAGAACAAGATTAGGGAGTGCTACTATACACATTGCGGGTGTATCTACTTCGGAACTAGTTGGACTCATAGCTAAGGCATACATACCTACACTAGACCTACCTGCATATGCTATACATAGTGGGGCTCAGGGGTCGATATATTTCAACTAAAACATGATAAAACCTTTCAACAATGCAACTTTTTGCGCGTCACCCTGTGTTACGACAAACCCATATCTCTTCAAAACCCATCCACCCTGCCGCTGAATCTGTGCAAGACACGGGTGTTTCTTGGTCACATCCATGTTCCCATTCTGGTTGCTCCTGACGCGGGGCGAAGATGGCATTAAACCTGAACCTTTCCAACCCATTTGCTCCGTGCCCAAACATCAAACATCATGTTGTTGTTCTGTCCGAAACACCAATGGAAATGATTGTTTCCATATTTTGTGTGGCCCAGGTCTTCACCAAACTGGCATATGTGTATCTATCTATCCATCTATACCTATCGATCTTACCTATCGATTTTATCTATGGATCTTATCTATCGATATTCTCTATCGATATTATCTATTGATCTTATCATATCTTATCTATTTACCTATCTATCAATCAATCTATCTATCTATCTTTCTACCTATCGATCTATTTTTCTAATCTATCTATTAATCTACATTCTCTATCTAATCTATATATTCCAATCTGTCTGTCTATGTATCTATCATCCCCTTGTGAATTTCAACGGTCACCCAGGTACCTGGGTTCCAGTATAAGGGTACATTCTCAAAATCATTCTAAAATCAGGAAAAATCACATTGCAAGAAATGCGCCTCTATAAAATCAAGAAAAACAGAGCACCACATGGTTACAAATGCCTGCTTGTAAAAACAAAACCTCTATAAAATCTAGGGACAGTGTTAGAGTTGGAACACCTTTTTCCCCTTAAAGTCATCCACCTGGTCCACCATAAAACCAGGATTTCCAAAATGGTGGCTTTACAAAAAGGATGTGGACTTTCAAAATTGGGGTACCTATCTCTGATTTTGTAGCGGAGCTGTTTGAAAGGGATGTCAATAGAAGCTGGACCTGGGTCCTTGATTTTATAGAACGGCTTCTTTTGGGATTGTTGTGCCTACCATCAATTTCCATAGTTTGCTGAATCAGGTTCAATTCAAAATAAAAGAACAAAATTGAATGAAAAAACAAAAAAAGGAAAACAATTGCCATTTTGGGACACTGTTCGGCACCGGGATTGTTGAAGCAAAACCTCTCGATGAAATCGAACAATTAACTCCTATTTGGGGGCCCTTCAAACCTGAATTTGCAATTTTGGAGTACTGCTGCGCCTCACTATATGCAAAGGTTTAAAGATCTTTGAAGCCTGTAATGACACAATTTTGGAGTTTCGCGCGCAGGGAGGTTACATTCTGTAATTTTAGACAGAGGGGGAGAGAGAGAGAGAGAGAGATTGAGATTTGGTCCATATTCATATTGGGGTACATGCGCTTAGTACCAAATGATTCTGAATCATCTGTGGAGAGGCAACGTCAACACGCGCAGTGTTGAAGCAAAACCTTTCTACAAAATCGACAAATTAGTCTCTATTTGGGGGTCCTTCAAACCTGAAACGTTCCATTTTGGAGCCCTGCTCTGTCACGATATGGAAAGGGGCAAAGACGTTTGAAGCCTGTAGTAGCCAAATTTTGGAGTTTAGAGGGCAAGGAGGCCGGAAACATATGAACAGAGCCTAGTTTCTGGAACTTTCTGATTTTATAGAGACAATGGGTGCATATTGAAGCCGAGTACATGCATGTAGGTACCCACTGATTTCCGAATCACCCCCAATTCCGTCCCAATTTCAAGCTGTGGAAAGGCAACGTCAACATGCGCAGTGCTGAAGCAAAACCCATCTTTAAAATCGACAAAATAGTCTCTGTTTCGGGGGTCATTCGAACCTGATTTTCCATTTTGGAATCCAGTTGTGTCTCACGATATGGAAAGGGGCAAGGATGTTTGAGGCATTCTCTCTCTCTCTCTCCCTCTCTCCCTACATCATATTGATCTACCGATTATCACAATCTCTAAGATATGGTTCAAGTGCTGCCCGAAACCTCATAACTATCATATTAGTCAGATGCTGCATTGGCAGCTCGTCAGACCCATTCCCCTTGGGCCTTGATAAAAATATGAACGGGATGCGGCGATCGCTTACATCCCCTTTTTTTTTAATCATGATCTGTGGGCAAATCAGAACCATGCCAAAAATAGCCTCTCTATAAAGTCGAGTTCCTGGGCCCCCCTGAAGTGGTCATAAGCCACATGGTCACATGGTGGTTTACAAATAGCCTTCAAAATCAGAAACTTGTGTGGTTTTTTTGGACACTTTGTGCACAGATGTGCACAGACCTCAGCTGTCTAAAATTATCATTCCAAACTGCACAAACGATACTTGGTATACCTGATTTTTAGAGTACATGCAAAGGGGTATTCTCTATCTATGTATCTATCTATGTATCTGTCTATCCATCTATCCATCTGTCTATCTGTCTATCTATTTACCGATCAATCGATCGTATCTATCATTCTTTCGTTTTTTTTGGAATAGGTCTTACTATTTCGTTCGTTCGTTCTTTCGTTGTTCTTTATTTAGTGATGTCTTTTTATGTGCTGCCCTATCTTTTCTATACATTGATCTTGTCTATCTTGCTATTGTTCTTTCAGTTTATCTACCTATCTGGCTTTGCTTGTCTATCTTTCTGTCCGCCTCTTTATTTTGTGCCTTTCTTTTTTTCATAGTTCCTTCTGTTTTTTTGGTTATTTTGTTTGCTTCGCTTGTTTATTTCTTTCTTTCTTCTTTCTTTATTTTTTTATTCTTCCTTTCTTTCTTTCTTCCTTTCTTGTTTCCTTCCTTCATTTGATTCTTGGTGATGATTCTAATCCGTCTCAATCAATCAATCTATCCGTCTGTCTACCGTTTTCCTAGCTTTTTGTCTATGATTCTGTCCATAAATCTAATTAACTTTCTTTCCTATCTATCTGTCAACCTATTTTGGCAATTGTCCACTTTGAACCAATTTTGAGCAAGTGACCTGGGCAACCCGTTTTTGATCCCAGAAAATTGCTCCAGGTCACTTTTACGATTTGGAAAAACTGGTTCAAAAAAGTCTGGGAGCTCATGCCGCATAAAGTTCATGAAAAGCTACGTAGAGGCCATCGTTGCCATCCATCTGTCTCTAAAACATTCGGAACCAATGCTCAATGCAATCTGCAAACAGAGTATTGCCGTGAAACACACGAGTCACTGTCTGTCCTCCACTTCATCTGCCCGCGCTGGGGGATCCTTTCCAGAATGAACATCAAAGCTCGCTTGACGATGCTTGCATGAGATCACCTGCGAACAAACTGAATCTTCATGAGTCTCCCAGTTTGTTTTTCCTTGGGTGATGGCCACAGCATAAACAGTGGCAAAAGATGGCAAAGGTATGTGAATAGGGCCATAAACACGTCTGGTAGGGAATCGTTTCTTTCTGGTCAAACCCAAAAGTGCCAAACCAAAAACCGTAGCACGTCCTCGTTTGGAACTTCGAGTTCTTGGAGGAAAATTTGCCTCTGAAACCTTGGAAAAGCACCCATCCGTTCAGATTGAGTTCCGAACACTTGCCAAACACGGTGCTGTTTTTTCTCAAATGTGGCAAGCTTTCAAGTTTTGAAACCGGTTGAGCCCTGATCCAAAGGGAGAAAGCTCTGAGATGCCCACCACGTCCCCACGGACGGTGTCAACTGAAATCCCTTCCCCGACATCTCAGCCTGCAAATGACATGTCAAGCAAACCTCATGGAAAACTAAAGGCCATCGTTGCCATCCATCTGTCTCTAAAACATTCGGAACCAATGCTCAATGCAATCTGCAAACAGAGTATTGCCGTGAAACACACGAGTCACTGTCTGTCCTCCACTTCATCTGCCCGCGCTGGGGGATCCTTTCCAGAATGAACATCAAAGCTCGCTTGACGATGCTTGCATGAGATCACCTGCGAACAAACTGAATCTTCATGAGTCTCCCAGTTTGTTTTTCCTTGGGTGATGGCCACAGCATAAACAGTGGCAAAAGATGGCAAAGGTATGTGAATAGGGCCATAAACACGTCTGGTAGGGAATCGTTTCTTTCTGGTCAAACCCAAAAGTGCCAAACCAAAAACCGTAGCACGTCCTCGTTTGGAACTTCGAGTTCTTGGAGGAAAATTTGCCTCTGAAACCTTGGAAAAGCACCCATCCGTTCAGATTGAGTTCCGAACACTTGCCAAACACGGTGCTGTTTTTTCTCAAATGTGGCAAGCTTTCAAGTTTTGAAACCGGTTGAGCCCTGATCCAAAGGGAGAAAGCTCTGAGATGCCCACCACGTCCCCACGGACGGTGTCAACTGAAATCCCTTCCCCGACATCTCAGCCTGCAAATGACATGTCAAGCAAACCTCATGGAAAACTAAAGGCCATCGTTGACATCCGATGTTCGAAGCAATCTGCAATCAGAGCAGGAGTGCTGTGAATCACAGAAGTCATTGTCTGTCCTCGGCTTCTGCTTGCATCTGCAAAACAGGTTCAGGCTCCTTTCAAGAATGAAAGTAAAGCTCGTTTGACGATCTTTGAGATCTCCTTTGACCAATTTCATTCTTGCAGTTTGTTTTTGGTCGTGGCAAGTGTGTACATTTGTCAGTGAATCAGGTAAACATGTTTGCTTGGGAATCGTTCTTTCACGTCGCCCGAAAGTGAGAGACTATATTTTGTTGGGGGAATGATGTTGCTTATCAGTAGTCACCGGTGGCAACGATATATGTGAATGGCCCGCTTCTATATTCGTCTTTGGACATCACTTAATCAAAGTCAATTGCTTACTTTTTGACAATCATGAACTTCGATTCAATGAAGCTGCACGATGAAAAGCAGCTGTGCGATGAAAAAGTAAAACAGCGACTGTCCGGTTTCCTTTTTTTCAGTCATGAACGGTCCATCCTCCAACATCTCCAATGCCAGATCTTGACCTCCCAGCTGAACTCGCTGAGGGGTCTCCGGGGCTGTTGTGGGCGTCATTGCCTGCCAGCAGTTTGAGGTTCCTCCCCGCCACCCACTTGGGGCGCAGTGCTGTGTCACCGTTGGAAACCCATGGAAAACGCTCCATGACTCCAGACATCAGCAAAGGGCCCACCTTTATAGAGCAAACATACCGCCATCCCAAACTCATGTGTGGTACAGTGGTACAGCACATGACATTGGGTCCATCTTGGTGAACGCAGGTACAGATTCCAGAAATGGATTGTTGTGGATAATGAAGTCATGACAAGTCCGCTTCAGCCGCAGCGTAATGATCAGCACGCTCTCAGCTGCTCTTCGCGATAGCAGTTGTCTACCAAGCCCGTACAGCTGGCCTTAAAAAATAGAAATTGTAACTGTATGTTGCTTGGTATTGATGAGAACCATTGCATATTTATTGCTTTCATGAAGGTAAACAAAAGACTACTACTCTTAGTATCCCGATTCTAGCAATAAATCAAACGCAAACATTTCTTGCCCCTGAAGATCCGAAGATCAAGTGAAGCAAGGCTCTGCGCAAAAACTCCTTCTCGATGAAGAGGTGGTTTCCAAGTGGAAGCTGAGGTTGTAAAGGTATATGGTAGAGCCGTGGTCGAAAATGGTGTTCAATCACCCATATTTGGGCATGGTCATCAATTCATCAATCTGGATAAATCAAGGCCATTGGGAGATAATTCCCCTCATTTACCCTCCCAGTAACGTCGCAGTGAGGTCGCTGTAGTTGATCCAGATAAGGGATTTAATCTATTACAGAAGGGGGAAACACGAGTAAGGTAACCAACTACAACTGGTTGGTGGTTTTAACCCATCTTGAAAAATATTAGTCAATGGGAAGGATTATCCCATATATAATGGAAAATAAGGGTGGAAATAGTTTTTGGATTTTTTTTGCTTCAGGTTTTGGATTTTTTGGCTTTGTTTCCCAGTACCATTTGCCTTGTACTTGCAACAGTTTGGAACTAGAACCTGTCATTTTGCATGGTATTTGCTACATTTTGGCATGGTCACTTTGCATTTTGCATGGTATTTGCTACATTTGGCCATGTTCGCCTTTCATTTTGCATGGTATTTGTCACATTTGGGCATTTTGACCTCTCATTTGCATGGTATTTGCAACATTTGGTGCTTCAAACGTTTATGTGGGTCTCTTGAGGGTTCTTTAGGGTTTCATTTAAGGTTTCATTTAGTGTTTCATTTAGGGTTTTATTTAGGGCTTCATTTGAGGTTTCATTTAGGGTTTCATTTAGGGTTTCTTTAGGGTTTCATTTAGGGTTTCTTTACGGTTTCATTTAGGGTCTCATTTAGGCTTTCTTTACGGTTTCATTTAGAGTTTCTTTAGGGTTAGGGTTTCTTTAGGGTTTCATTTAGGGTTTTTTCCGGTTTCATGTAGGGTCTCTTATCGGGATTTCTTATCAGGAGTTCTAAACGTTCAAATGGGTCTTTTTATGGTTTCGTCTAGGGTTTCATTTAGGCTTTCTTTCGGGTTTCAGTTTGGGTTTCATTTAGGGTCTCATTTAAGGTTTCTTAAGGGTTTCATTTAGAGTTTCTTTAGGGCTTCACTAAGGGTTCATTTAGGGTTTCATTTAGGGTTTCTTTAGGGTTTCGATTTAGGGTTTCTTTAGCGTTAAGGTTTCATTCAGGAGTTCATTTAAGCTTTCTTTAGGGTTTCATCCCAGGGTTTCTTATCAGGATTTCTTTTCACGATTTCTAAAAACGTTCAAGTGGGTTCCTTTAGAGTTTCTTTAGGGTTTCATTTAAGGTTTCTTTAGCGTTTCAATTTGGGGTTTCAAGTTAAGGTTTCATTCAGGAGTTCATTTAAGCTTTCTTTAGGGTTTCATTCCAGGGTTTCTTATCAGGATTTCGTTTCACGATTTCAAGAAAACGTTCAAGTGGGTTCCTTTAGGGTTTCATTTAGGGTGTCATTTAGGGTTTCTTTAGGGTTTCTTTAGGGTTTCTTTTAGGGTTTCATTTAGGGTTTCATTTAGGGTTTCTTTAGGGTGTCAACTTAGGGTTTCAGCTAAGGCGTCAATTAAGGTTTCATTTATAGTTGTTATTCAGAGTGTTGTTTAGGGTTTCTTTGGGATGTCATTTAGGGTGGCATTTAAAGTTTCTTTTAGGGTTTCATTTATGGTTTCTTTAGCGTTCATTTATGGTTTCTTTAGGGTTCATTTAGGGCTTCATGTAGGGTGTATTATCAGGATTTTTTTTGGGTTTCTTTGGGTTTCACCTAGGGTCTCTCTAGGGTTTCATTTAGGATACAAACAGAACAGAATAATGCAAAAGAAAATGAAAAACAAAGAGACAGTAAAGACAGGAAGCAAACTTAAGCAACGGAGCAGGAAGTATAGCAGGAAAAACACATGACTGAAGAAAAGAACAAGTAGAATAGTAGAAGTGGAAAGGACCAGAAGTACAAAAGCAGAGAAGGAGAAGCAGGGAAAACAGAGAAGCAGAAAAGCAAAGAAGCAGGAAAAGGAGAAGCAAGAAAAGCAGAGAAGCAGGAAAAGCAGAAAGCAGAGAAGCAGGAAAAGCAAAAAGCAGAAAAGCAGAGAAGCAATGTAAGCAGAGAAGCAGAAAATCAGAGAAACAAGAAAGCATAGAACCAGGAACCCAAAAAAAATCCAAAACCTGCCGCGAAAAAAAAAAAAATAGCCCTCCAATAAAAAATATGTTCCAAACCACCAACCAGACAAAAACTTTGAAGCTTTGCGATTCTCCCTGTGCACATTCCACCGATTTCCACCGTTTCCCGGCCAGTCCTCGCCTCGGGAGTCCTTGGCTCAGCCAGAATCTGTTCACCTTGATGTACAAGAGCTGCAGAAAATTGGATCACCAGTACACAGTATAGCCTAGCTATGTTAATTATGATGAGCCGTGATCAAGTAACCTAAAATCACTATTCACTGTTGTTTTTGGATATTGGTGATATTGAACTACTTATTAAACAATGTTATTAATCACTGAATAATGGGGATTAACCTCCAAGCAGCAAAGCAGGCAAAATCTGCTGATGTGTCCGAGAAGATGAGATAAGATGAGTCAAAATGAGATGTCGAGACTCTCAAGACTGTCAACTCCTCACAGTTCGATGTTCTTGGGATCATCGTCCAATTGTCCGTTTTTCTGCCCGTCTGAGTCAATGGCGCAAACTTGCAATCTGCATGCCTTGAAACTCTACGGCATGCGTCAGATCAGATATCCTTAGGTACCACAAAGTACCCTCCAGCAAGTTAACATAGACCCTGCCAGATAGGGGTTGGAAGACTAGTTTCCACTATAAATTGGTGATTTTCAGGGTCCAACTGTTAATTTACCAGAGGGTAAACCCTCACAAAACACTCCGTTGATCCATGTAGATCCACGTCATCTCCCAAAACGACAACGGGTTCCGAGTTCCGCGGAGTCACAGGGGCACCATGCACCCATGTTTGGGTGCATACAACAGAACTGTCGAAGGTCAAAAACATGTTGTGTATATCTTGATATATCTTGTATGGGTTTACAATGTGAAGCCCCGGGGCATCTTTGTCAGGGTTGCGCAGGGATGATGAGACTGGAAACCATTCACCAGAATACAAAGGTCAGAATGCCATGTCCGGTAGCACCATGCGTCACGGTCTAGATTCACAAGTGAGCAGTAAAGATATTGATCAGAAAAAACAATCATGGAATATGTGAAATATGTATGTAAAAAATATACACAGTTTATAAGTAGATACCTAGATATGTATACTAACAGGACATAGTGGGACTATATATATATAGTATTAATTATATATAGACCCAAGAGCAGTGGTATAAGAACAGGATAACTATCAATGGAATAAAACTCATTGCAAATGGGTAATTGTCAGAAATAGTCATCCATCCCTTCATAGGAATGGCACCACTACTTTGCCACCAAGGCCAAGCATGCACAGGGAGAGGTGACCATCCTTCTTATGAGCAAACAAACCATCAGGCCAACACACAGGCACAATGACCATGGCACACATGCATCACTGACACTTGACTCGCCGAGCAGCTGTTTCTGCTGGCTTTTTAACATCGCCTTCACCTCCTAGTCAAAAGAAATGCGGGTTCGTCTGAAAGTAGGGTACCCCAAAACGATTAGTTTCAAAATATTGAACAAGTTCTTTGAATGATATACTCCATGCTTGGACACACCCATGTCCATACCGTTTGTCTCGTGTCATACCTGGTGCATCATGCTAGGGAGGTCTAGCTCGGATATGGCCCATATTATGGCTCAGTTGACTTTGAAGATCAGGATGTCCCAGGATGTCTGAGCAGGATTCAATGCCTGCAAAAATATGCAATTTTCTCAATGGTAGATGAATAAAACGGGGTTCCCAGTTCATGGATGACTATCATCAACTCGATATATAAAGATATATAAAGGATAGCATAACTGGATCTCCTTTTTGAGTCATCAATGTCATCAACTAACGGGGGTGCTCACTTGTGGGCGTCCTCGAGACTTTCGAAAACGGCCTGTGCCATTTCCATGGCTGCGAAGGAACAAAGGTGACGTGTTCGAATTGAAAAGCTGCGTGTACAGGATCTATGTTCGAACCCGGTGCCAACTGGTAGTTCCTCACCCTAACCTGTCGTATATGTATGTGCATGTCAATCAATAGAATATATTTATATATAATGTATTTATATATGTATATTGAGTTATGAAAATATTTATGAAAATAGTTTGATGATAGAATCTTCTATCCTTTAAATCCTAGGAAAAACAAACAAACAAACCTATTTTACACTTCTAGATGCTATGATATGTGTGTACCCTGAAGCCGCTTCAAGTAGAAATAGACATCAACCTGGCTGCCGATTGACTCCCAAGTCAGCGCCCAAATGAAACTCTGACACCCCCTGCCACCAAAATAGTGTGGCACTTGGGTTGGCTTTTGAGATTCGGTCGAAATCAAATGAAACAAAGGACTGCGCGATCCTCACATGGGGTTGGTTCAGAATTAAGTGCATCATACCCGAAAATTGGATGATCAAATCCACTAAGAATAACGCATATAATGTGTCTTCACAATTTTAGATACATTCATGTGTGTATATATATATATTGTTTTATTTATTTATGTGTATATATATATATATATATATTTATTTATGCGTGTATATATATATATTGTATATTGAACAGAGAGTTTGGGCTCGTAAATCTGATGAACACTCCTGAGCACTGTTCAGCACCTTTTCACTCAGTTAGCTCGAAGGTAGCTAAAAGCACTAAAATGGCTGCAGCACATATATAAGCATATGTACTACATGTAACATGGTCTATACTGTACACATATCTGATCACGCCTCCCGAGCCTGTTCAGAGGCACGGTGAGTCCAAGTGTTTTGAACTAGGCGAGTTTTGATATGTACAGCTACGCATAGCCACGACTCAAGCCATCTATGCCTTCAGTGTCAGGTGATGTTCACCTTCCAGAAAGTGAAAGTTCATATTCCGCAGTGCCTTGTTCATCTTCTCCTCTATGACGGGTTTCGTCAAGACGTCGGCAAGCATATCGCCAGTGTCGACCTTCTTCAGCCGAAAGTAGCGTTTGGCAACGCGGTCTTGTACCCAGTGGTATTGAGTATCCACGTGCTTGGCCTTGCCTAATCCTCTTCGTGAACCCATTGCTATTCCTGCACTTGCATCCATGAAAACTTCACTCTCAGGTTGCAAACCCCAGTCTTTGGCGGTTGAAACTTCTCCCAGCAAATTGCTGGCACCGCTCACAAGAGCGTAATACTCACTCTCTCCAGACGAAAGACTAACAACTCCTTGTCCTTTAGAATAAGTCTTGATACAACAACCACCGGCCATCAAGACGCCTCCTGACACGCTCTTCCTCGTCTTCACGCATCCAGCGTGGTCAGCGTCAGACCACATCACAAAAGGACTGAGCTTGCTCTGATGAGGAAAGAATTGTGCCATGCGTGGTCGATACCTAAGATATCGTGCAACTCTTTTGAGCATAAGCATGTGGCTGGTAGTTGGTCGTTGTAGCCCTTGTGCTAAAGATCTTGTTGCTACTTGCAGATCTGGTCGGTCTTGTGCCAAATAAGCTGCTCGCATTGCAACTGATCTGTACTGGGTTGCTTCTTCATCGTTGAGAAAAACAGTGGCATCCTTAAGATCTTCCACTGATCCTTTGGCAAGTGGTGTCTTGACTTTGGCTCCTCGGGGACCATCTCCGAGCAAATCAATTACCAACTCTGCGTGACGTGCATCTGGTTCCCACCAAATTCCATTCTCCTTCCATGTAATAATTCTGTTCAGGACTCTGATGTCCTGGATGGTGTTTGGTGTTCCTGGTGGTCCTAAAATACCACGTTCCACACATTTCCACTTCTTTGACAGCTCTTCATGAAGCCATTTGATGTTGTCAAATGTTCCTGCTGTTGTAAAATCATCTCCATGTACAACAGTTCTGAGGTCTCGGCCTGCATGGTAGTATATGCATGGATTGCTTTTTCCTTGCTTGAAACCTAAGGCCAACATGACCTTCTGTATCTGCAACTCCCAGTTGAGAGGTGCATCTCTGGTTCCATACAATGATTTGAGCAATCTTCCTACCACATCTTCTCCAGGCTTCTTTGCTTCTGCAGGAAGTTCCACGTAAATCTCGTGCGTCGCATCTGAATAAAAGTGAGCGCGTTTCACATCCAGGAATCCTAGAAGTCTACGCTTGCGATAGGCTTCCTTGACAGCTTTTCCAGCGTCTGGCAACTGAAACGTGACGGCTATTGTAACTAGCATCTTCAAAGCAGACAAACTGGGCATGGCTGCGAAGAACTCATCAAAACCTGAGCCCTTCTTGACTTCTTGAGCTACTAACCTACTTCTATAAAGTGGATTCTCCTCATCCTGCTTGTTGACATCTACCCATCGTGTTCCAATGGTGCGTACCCCTTTGGGCATCTTGTGTCTGGGAATCTTTTCCCAAACTGGAAAACTTTCAATGATTTCGACCTCATCTTTTCTGGCTTGTTCTACACCTTTGCTGTCCAAAATCTTTCCACTGATATCATCATAATAATACCATGTAGCTGCTTCATCTTCCAACTCCGGTGGAAGAGGAATTGTTTCTTCACAAACTGGTTCTTCTTCACCTTCAATGGACTGAAGATACCTCTCCCGATCTTCCATGATCAGGTTCATAAGACATTGGTCTATATCATCCATGTCATCTGGCCTCTCATTCTCAGGTGGCCGTTTGGTGCCCTTAGACGCCTGAGCTGAAGCAGCTCGGCTGTCTTTGGCCTTTGACGTCTCGCCTCCTGAGTCTGCAGGTCTCTTCTGACCTTTGGCTGGTGACATCTCCAACCTCTTGTGTGATCTTTCTTCTTGCTCGCCTCCTGCTCTCTTGGCTGAGGCTGAGCTTGCACTAGCTCCTACTCCAACTGGATGCGCAGTTGGATCTTGTACTACTGGACCTGATGTTCCAGCAGTTGGCAAACTTGGCGCTGATTCCCCTGTGGCAGAATACCACAGCTCAGTGACAATATCTGTGTCATCAATCAACGGTGCGCTGATGACGTCTTCTCCTAAGTTAGGATCCATTGGTTCAGACTTGATGATGTCTCTTGTCTTAAAATCTCTGGTGACTCTCCACCAGACATTATCCCAACTGGGACCTTCTGGCATAGTACCCTTGAGATACCTTGCATTCCTGTCAAGGCGCGCAAACACCTTGAAACCTTGAGGGACTCCTTGTGGTCTCTCACTTGAATATCCATAAAGGATCTTTGTGCCTTCCTCGGACACTTCTTGTTTCTGA